TATTTATACAATCAGTAACCGTGTCAATATGGACTTCATTTTTACTTTATTCTATGAGTTACACAACCTAATATTTTCTGACCCAATGGTTCCAACCTTGGCTATTAGGAGCTCCTATGTGATAATAGTTTGTTCTTAGTTAAATAACTTCATGTATCACAGATGTTCACACTTACCTTGTACTTTTCCCCTGTACTTTCCCATTCTAATATCAACTATGTTTACAAGGAGTCTTGATTACTTTTATTATTAAAGAATAATGTTAGAGGGCTGGGAAGGTGGCTTAGTGGTAGAGTGCTTGCCTTGCATGCCTGAGGTCCTGGGTTCGATTCCTCAGCACCACATAAGCAAAAAGAAAAAAAACCGGAAGCAATGCTGTGGCTCAAGTGGCAGAGCGCTAGCTAGCCTTGAGCTGAAGAACTGAGGGACAGTGCCCAGACCCAGAGTTCAGACCCCACGACCGGACACCCCCCCCAAAAAAAAAAGAATAATGTTAGAAACTAAGATCTGGGGACTTGGTGCTCATTGTCACTTGGGAAGATTTTTTAAAAAATAACTACAATATTATCATTCCTAAAAATTAATAATTCCTCAATATCACCTAATATCTGGTCACTAGTAAAATGACCTTAATTGTCTGAGTGTCTATTTTACAGTTGATTTATTCAAACTGGAATACAAATAAGGTTCACACTTTTATTTAGTTGATTTTTAAATTTTAATCTATAACAGTTTCCCCATCTTTTTCATTTGTAGATTTGGCAGATTGTATTCTGATAATGGCATTAAACATATTTTGTTTTGTTTTGTTTTACAGCAGATTCAAATTTGTTGGTTTTGTTTTTTCCCCCCTTGATCATACTGGGGTTTGCATTCAGGACCTTGTGCTTACTGGATAAACATAAGCACTCGCTCGAGCTACACCTCTGCCCTGCCCCCCCCCTTTTTTTGCTTATCATTTGGTTGGAGTCTATCTTTCTTTGCCTAAAGCCAACTTTAGACTGGGATCCTCCTACATATGTCTCCTGCTTTGCTGTGATAACAAACATGGATTAACATACTTGGCTTTTGGTTGATATGGGCATCTCACTTAGTTTTTTGTCCTGGTTGGTCTTGGACTACATTGTCTCCCAGTCTTTGGGTCCAGAGTAGTCGGGATTGCAGGTATCAGACACCACTATATTGTTTATTTAACTTTTTTCGGGGCAATGGACTGAGGGATTTATAAGTGTTTTGTAAGTGTTTTATACCTCCAAGCCCTCAAGTTTGATTATATTTTGGCAGGAAGATTTCATAGAGGAGCCCAGGTAGCTGTTATTGTTTTATATCAGGAGGCTACATAATACAACTTGCCTCTCATGTGTGGAGTGATAATTGCTCAAGGGACTCAGGTGATTTTTGTCTTGTCCTTCTATTATAAAATTTAGCAATAACTATCTTATGATTTGAGCAAGCCATTGGTAATTATCAGATTCATTATTTCATTCAAGAGTGCAAAATGAGCACATTTTATCATTTTTCTGGAAGTTGTTAGTTTTACATTGTTTTTATAAAGAAGAACTTTTCTCCAACTATTTAGTCACTCAAATATGGTTTATATGGGAAAGCAGAATGAAAGCTTGACTTTCATTAGCAATCTCTGAGGTCACCAAAGTGACATTTTTCTATGAAGTTAATGAATTTTAACTCATTTCAACCCTTGGCAGATTATTATTCTTCTTTATATCAAAACTTTCCATATTTAGTGAATTCCAATTTCTATGTTGTCACGTTCAAGATGACTAACTCTTACACTGCAAGTGTGGCTCAAGTGATAACACAAGCTAAAGGCCTTGGAATTAAATGCCAATACCATCATTTAAAAAAAGCATCTATTTTCCTTCCAATTTAGATATTTTCTGACATAATAGATTTTTTTTGGGGGGGGGTCCAGTCCTGGGGCCTGAATTCTGGGCCTGGGCACTGTCCCTCAGCTCTTCAGCTCAAGGCTAGCCCTCTACTACTTGAGCCATAGCACCACTTCCGGCTTTTTTCTTTTTGCTTATGTGGTGCTAAGTAATCGAACCCAGGGCCTCAAGCATGCAAGGCAAGCACTCTACCACTGGGCCACCTTCCCAGCCCCCATAATAGATTTTTAATTAGCATAAATTAATTGTATAAAGGGTTCATTGTGATTGTACATATAATGCACATTTTATATATATTTTACGTATATTACTTTAATTAAATTCAAAACCTTTAATTAAATTTGCCCTTATAGAGAGTGAGGGAAGAGGTGGCATTGTTCAAAAAGAAATATACTATTTATCTGACTTATATAGCTGTAATCCTTCTATAAATCGCCTTTACAGTAACAATAAAAATGCATAAAAGAGAAAAAATAAGATGGCTCTTGTGACATGACCCAATAGCCTTTTATGGCTCCTTTGCTTTCTTTTTTTTTTAATAAGTTTTTTATTGTGAGAATACTGTACAGAGGAGGGGTTACAGTTACATGAGCAAGGTAATGAGTACATTTCTTATCAAGCATTGTTGTCTCCTCCTTTGTTTTTCCCCTATCATCCCTACCCTCCCATCTCTATAATTACACTCCTTACCCCCCCCTCACCTAAATTGTAAAGTTCGTTTTTCAACATAGAGTCTTGTATTTCTCATTGTTGCAATGGGTCAACCTGTATCCCTGTTTTAACAATTTGTTTTTTCCCTTCCCCTCCTTTGCTTTCTAGAAGGATAAGATGTTGTCAGATTGTTTTGTCCATTTTCTTCTCTGGATCTGAAATTAGTAATTGTCCCTGATTCCTTTTAGAAGGAAATAATACTATTTAGGCTTGTTGCTATAAAGTTAGTTTCTTATTCTAGTCCCGCTTGGCTCCTCTCCCAGTTGGCACACTACCATTGAGTCATAATGCCATTTGAGCCATGCTTCCAGTCCAACTTTTTAATGCTGATTAATTGGAGATAAGAGTTTTGAGGATTTGTCTGCCTATGCTGGCATTGAACTAGTATCCTCACATTTTAGCCTTCCAAATAGCTAAGATTCCAGGAGTCAGCCACCAATGCCTGGCTAACCCTCCAAATTTTAAAGAAAAATACATCAAGCTGTGTTCAGGTTGGTTTCTGTGCTCTGGAGAAAGCTTGTGCTTTCAGGCTCATTCTTTATGGCACAACAAAAGATTCCAGACTTATCTTCTATCTTCTCTCTCATGAATTCAGACTAAGAGAAAGTTTAACATTTTTTACATCCTCTAATTAGTACTCTGTCTTTCCCTTTGTTGACATTTGCCTAATTCCTTTATGTTTTACCTGACTTCAACTAAAAGTGACCATACGTTGTTACTGCTCTGGTGGGTTCTTATGTTCCCTTTTAGAAGAATCCGGTTGTTTTTGTTTTCTTTTTATCTCGTTTGTTCATTTATATGTCTTTGGGAGGGCAAGGGAGCACACAGAAATGGAGGGATGAAGGGCGAACAAATGCAGCAGTGGCACTCACTAGACACTATGTTGAAAAGGAATTATACAACTGGGTGGAGATGGGGGGGAAACTGGGAGACAGCAAAGGAAGGGGTGACATTGTCTAAAAAGAAATGTACTACTCATTACTTGACTTATGAAACTGTAACCCCTCTGTATATAATCACCTTTATAATAATACAAACAAAACAAAAAAGAATCTGACAAAGAGAAACAAGATTATTCTTACATTTATCCCAAATGTAAGGGAACCAGTATTCAAAAAGAGAAAATCTCAAGCTGACTCAAAGAGGAACAAAGGTTTACCATGTTTCTCAGGCGAACAGAGCCCTGTTTCTCCACACCATCACAGGTAGAAGTAGAATTCCATTTGTGCCTGCACTTCCCCACTCTACCTGACTGCTATGATTCATGCATTGCACATTTCATAATGTTAAATTCACCTTGGCTGTGATTTTTACTATTATGATGAGGTAAAGATTATTTACTATAGAATACCTGAATGACAGTTCTACACAATATTTTCACCACTAGGAGAATGCCATTCCTATTATTTCAGAGAAAGCAAAGTCAAATTATTTTTACACAATAAAAATAATTATAGCTAACTACATCATCATGCAGTGGTTCTGCTATTTTAAAACCTCTGTAATTAACTCATTTTTTTCTCACTTGCTTTTCTGAGTGTCTGTTTCCTGGTAGGCTCATTAACCACATAGCTCTTAAAGGCTGGTATGAATTTAGGGTTTCTTTGCCTCCAATTCATTTGTTGACCCACCTTTGCACTATGTGAAGAGAAGTCTTTGTTTTCCCTTTGTGTGTATTCATTTCTATAAGAAACTAGAATAAACTCAGTGCTCTAATAAATAGATATGTGTCGATATGTGTATATCCACATAAATAGTAAATATGGAGAAACTCCATTTAAGGAGATATGATGGACAGGTGCAATGAGTCAAGCACACAAAACAGGTCAAGTAGGCTCAGTGTGGGTGACTCAAGCCTATCATTGGAGTTACTCAGGGAGCTGAGATCTGCCTGGGCAGAGAAGCTCAAGCAAGAGCAGGGGCCACAGCAGGAGCAACAATAGCACCATGCTCCTCTGCTTAGCTGCCAACTACCCTTTGATTTCTCTTATTCTTACCTTAGTAAGTTTACTTTACCAACCTATGGCTCCAAAAGAAAAATGTCCATGGAAATAAACTACACAAATGTACTTTGCGTTTCTTGCAAAGGGTGTGCTTCAGGCTCTGAATCCTTTTTGTATCCCCTCTCCTTCTCCCCTCCGCTCCCCCTTCCCCTCCGAGATCCGGAACCTTCGTTACTTTCTTAGGCTATCTAGGGGAAGTTTTAGACAGTGATACCTACCGACATACCAACCAATAGATCACAGAGCACAGGGACTCAGAGGCTGATGCAGGGGGCGCAGTCCAGAGGGGGCGGGGACTCGCTCTAGGCCGGCCCTCCAAGGGGCGGGGCTTCCGGCGGGCTGGCTGCAGCCTTTATCCGCGGGCGTCCTGCAGGTCTATCCATTCCGGTGCTGCCTCTGCGCCCTCTCCGCCTTTTTCTTTTCTCGGGGCTTTGTGCCTGTCACCTTTGGCTTGTTTCCTCCGTTCTGCTCGTCTCTCTGACCCGGGTGCAGGTCATCCTCCTAGGCTTCAGAGTCTGACATCTGACGGCCTATCTTCGCGCCCCACGGAGGAGCACCCCCTGCCCAGAGACACCCACTGCAGAGCCGGGTGCAGCGAAGGTGAGCCGGGTCAGGGGACCAGAGGCCACAACATCACCCCCCCCCCGAAAAACAGAGGGTTCCTGTGGCTTTCAGCAGCACTATCAGCACTTGTGAAAGCGGTGTTGAGCGAATGTGGAGTCTGCCATACGTAGTCGGTAGCCAGAAAATATTCTTGGCCACTTGTGTTTTTGCTTTCTTCCCACTGGAAGAAAACGAATTCCTGAGCTGGAATTTAGGAGACCTGGAACTTAGTCCAGGCTTTGCTAATGAGTATCCAGACTCCCCCCCCCCCCCTTCAAAGTCAAGTGAGATTCCAGAATTCACGCCACTCGACACAGAAAGATAGAAGAAAGGACTTTGGAATATTTGATTACATGAAGTACAGTTCGTAATTGGAATTCTCCACTAAAATAACAACTCCAAAGCAGACCTGGGTATCTGGTTTGTCTCCCATCTCTAACTCTAGACACTTGTGTAAAAGTTTAGCTCTTAAAGCCATAGTAAACAAAGTTTGTATTATAAATTCCAATCCCTTCACAAGTTCCACTCATGGCTCTGTTATGATTGGGTATGACAATTCCATAGGTCATTCATATGTTATTGTATGTTTATCTTGATTAAATAGACTACCAAAAACAGTAACAACCCGGCAGTTCAGCCCAGGAGGCTGCCTACAGATTAGTATGAAAGGATCTTGCCATTCCTGTCAAAAACCCTGTAGTTATGACAGTGTCTTCAAAATTACCATCAAAATCATAGTTAATGAAAATGAACGATAATGACTGTAATCTATATTGATAGGAGAGCCATAAGTGAAATTGGGAAAATGTCAAAATTTATGATGACTTCTGTTTGAATAGTGCTTTAGTGTTTATTTTATTTTTTATTTTTGCCAGTCCTGGGGCTTGAACTTAAGGGCCTGAGCATTGTCTCTGAACTCCTTTAGCTCAAGGCTAGCAGTCTACCACATGAACCACAGCACCACTTTTGGCTTTTCTGTTTATGTGGTACTGAGGAATTGAATCCATGGCTTCATGCATGATAGGCAAACATTCTTCCACTAATCCACATTATCAGCCTGCTTTAGTGTTTATTAATAGAGCCCTTTTGAGTGGTTTTTCATTTTTGGTCCTCTTAAGTAAATAATATCCACGTCTCACCAACAGGAGGAGGTTGTGTGGTACATGCCTGTAAACCCAGCATTTGGAAGGCTGAGGAAAGAGGATCACATGAGTTCATGGGCCGCATGGACTACATAATGATACCCTGTCTCAAAAAAAAAAAAAGATAAAAAACAGAGAAGTTGAGTAATCAGTACTGGATGCCAGTACAAAGTGGGTTTGGGACATGAATCCTGCCATATAACAAGTTGTTATATGGCAAACTCTCCACTTCCTCTTCCTTTTCTTTTTCTAATCCTTACATCCTACTTATTGCTCATCCTGTGCTCTATTTAAAAATTTTTAACTTGCTATTATAAAGCTGGTGTACAGAGGGCTTACAGTTACATAAATCAGGTAAAGAGTACATTTCTTTTGGACAACTTTACCCCTTCCCTCCCTCTCTCCTAGTTTTGTGCTCCATTCTTATTGAGAATTCCTATTTTTTTTTAATTTTTTTTTTTTTTTGGTCGGCCGTTGGGCTTGAACTCTGGGCCTGGGCGCTGTCCCTCAGCTCTTCAGCTCAAGGCGAGTGCTCTACCACTTGAGCTACAGCGTCACTTCCAGTTTTCTGGTGGTTTATTGGAGATAGGAGTCTCACGGTTGCTCCTCCCCGGGCTGGCTTTGAACCGCGATCCTCAGATCTCAGCCTCCTGAGTAGCTAGGATTACAGGTGTGAGCCACCAGGGCCCGGCTTTGAGAATTCCTATTTACATGATCTCTCATTGGCCACTGTTCAATATGGTTGATAACTCATAAGAGTTTAAAGTCCAATCTCTTAAAGAGGTGGAGAGGAAATTGTAGCTGGGTGCCAGTGGCCTAGGCCTGTTATCCTAGCTACTTGGGAGTCTAAGATCAGGAGATCGTAGTTTGAGGCTAGCCTGGGCAAAAAGTTCGTAAGGACTCCTCCCACCCCCTAACCTCCCAACATCTCCACCATTAGCTGGGCAAATCGGCATGTACCTGTCATCCCAGCTATATGAGAGGCTAAATTCAGGAGGATTGTGGTTCTAGGCCAGCCTGGAAAAAAAGTAATACTCTGCCTCAAGATGGAAGCCCTGAGTTCAAACCCCAGTTCCATTGTAAAAAATGGGGAATTATTACTATAATCATGCATTTCTTGAATATAAGATTTGTACTAAGAAGTATGTCAGGTGATTTCATCATGCAAATATAGAGTATACATACATAAACCTAGATGGTATATACCATATACCTAGGCTATATAGCATCTATATCTGTCTGTCTGTCTGTCTGTCTATCCAGCCTATTGCTTTTAGGACCACAATGAACAAAACACAAGTGAAATCAAGCACAAGAGGCCATGGGAAACTCAGATGTGTGTCTGCCATAAGATAACATAGCATACTTGTTTTACAGTAAACTTTTTTTAGCCAGAAGAAGTACATTCTAATGATAAAGACATGGTGTAGTAAATACACAACCTAGCAACATAGTTATTTGTTATTATTTAAGTATTTTGAACTGTATACAATTATATGTACTACACTTGTATGTGACGGGCAGCATGGTAAGTTTTCCAACACATGTGAATAACGTGCTGTGACACTAACATGACTAACATGTCACTAGATAATAGGAATTTTTCAGCACCATTACAATTTTATAGGACCTCCATCATCTATGTGGTGTGTCATTAAGTTATACATTGTTACACTGCTCTTGACTGTACTTTGTGTTGTGTGTATGAGAAGTGTGTGTGTGTGGCGGGGGGGACTGAGTACTGGGGCTTGAACTCAAGGCTCTCTCCCTCAGCTTTCTTTCTCAAGTATAGTGCTCTACCACTTGAGCCACATCTCTACTTTAAACTATTTTCCAGTTAGAGATAAGAGATTTGTCTGATAGTACTGTTTCAAAACACAGTCCTCAGATTGCAGCCTCTGGAGTATCTAGGATTACAGGTGTGAACCACTGACACCTGACTATGACTGTACTTTTATCATTATCATTCACAGGATTCAAGGAATCATATGCAATGATAGGTAATTTAAAAATAACTGGCATGTATTGTGCTCATGTGATAGGTCTCTTAACAACACTTTACTTAAAGCTCTTTAGCCACAAAGCTAGGATGACAGGTATACATCAGAGCATCCAGCTATTGGTTGAAAAGGGAGGTCTCATTTTTTTTTTTTTTTTCGCCTAGGCTGTGCTCAAACCAAGATCTTTCCTATTTCAACCTTCCGAGTAGCTAAGATTACAGGTATGAGTCACTTCCACCTGGCTTATTTATTTTATAGATGAGGATCCTAAAGCACTGAGAGATTAAATAAAGTATTTAAGGGTATGTAGTCCTTCTTTTTTTTTTTTTTTTTTGGTTCCGGTCGTGGGGCCTGAACTCTGTCCTTCAGCTCAAGGCAAGCGCTCTACCACTAGAGCCACAGCGCCACTTCTGGCTTTTTTCTTCTTTTTTTTGCTTATGTGGTGCTGAGGAATCGAACCCAGGGCCTCATGCATGCAAGGCAAGCGCTCTACCATTAGTCACCTTCCCAGTCCCATGTAGTCCTTCTTGTCACAATCATTTGTGAAGCTTTACAATAGACTAGCTTGGGGATAGATAATGTACTCAGAAGAAAGCCTGACCCTCTCTGAAAGAAGGGCCTGAACTGGGAGGAAAGATCAATGCAATAGACTGCTTTTAGCTATAGCCTGCTACCTATGTCAGACTGCAGGCACCTGCTAAGGAGAACAAAAAAATCAGGGGAGGTCTCTGTTCTCAAGTAATAAGCTCTCTCATTTAATGTATTCTCCAAACTCTAGAAGTCCTGTGCAGTATGTGACAATTTTCTCTCTTGACACATAACTATACAGGAAGCAAACACAGGATGATGGGCATGGACAAATATGAGCTGTTGTATCATGTAAGGAGAGCAAGTAATAAGAGGCAAGCATGAGGATGAGCAGGCCCTCACATTGGGGCCTCTGAGGACTCCAGAAGAGCTGGTGAGCTTCTGCTTCAGGTAGTTATATGCTATGCCTGACACTCTTTTCTCCCATAGTCACATAGCTCTTTCCCTCCCTGCCTTGAGCTCCATTCAGACATATAATCAGTGAAACTCCATGAGGAGCAAAGGTATATCTGCTTCATTCACTGCTCCTTCAAACCTAGAACCATGTTGGGTACACGAAACACACTCAGCCAGTGTTAGTTGAGTGACTGGATAGATTAATGAGGAATGAATAGTGAAGCCAGGTGCTGGTGGCTCACACCTGTAATCCTGGCTACTCAGGAGCCTGAGATCTGAGGATCTCAGTTCAAAGCCAGCCCAGGCAGGAAAGTCCATGAGACTCTTATCTCCATTAAACCACTAGAAAACTGGAAGTGGCGCCTTGAGCTGAAGAGCACAGGGACAGTGCCCAAGCCCAGAGTCCAAGGCCCACGACCAACCAAAAAAAAAAAAAGAATGAACAGTGAGCTAGCCAACTAAGGATGCAAAGTAGGACAAAGGGACTGGACATCAAAAACCAGAGCTGTGGGGCCCGCAGTACAGCCATGGTACAGCAGTGTGATAAATTGAAGTGAATGTAAAAGCTGTAAGCAGAGATGACCGAGGTGTTCAGCAGAGTCCTAATCCTGGAGTCTTTGGCATCTAATCACATCTCACAGATAAGAAGGCACTCAACAGAGTTTTTAACCCAGTCTGTAGGCAGCTTTCTTCATTCAGTCATCCAGTCACTCAACAAACACTGGCTGAGTGTGTTTCATGTACTCAACATGGTTCTAGGTGTGAAGGAGCAGTGAATGAAGCAGACATACCTTTGCCCCTCATGGAGTTTCACTGATTGTATGTCTGAATGGAGCTCAAGGCAGGGAGGGAAAGAGCTATGTGACTATGGGAGAAAAGAGTGTCAGGCATAGCATATAACCACCTGAAGCCTGGAGTCCTCGGAGGCACTAATGTGGGAGCCTGCTCGTCCTCATGCTTACCTCTCATTACTTGCTCTCCTCACATGATACAGCAGCTCATATTTGTCCATGCCCATCATCCTGTGTTTGCGTCCTATACAGTTATGTGTCAAGAGAGAAAATTGACACATACTGCACAGGACTTTTACAGAGTCTGGAGAATATATTAAATAAGAGAGCAGTGTTTTGCAGGTTTCAGCAATAGCCTCTTAGTTGATAAATTTCTATGAATGACTCATTTAATCACTGACTTGAGAGAGAACCATGGTACTCTATCATAAGGGGAGAGGGAAAGTGGCCTCTTGGGTTCTTTTTTTTTTATTGTTGTTGTTTTGTTTTTGTCAGTCATGGGCTTGAACTCAGGGCCTGAGTGCTGTCCCTGAGCTTTTTCACTCAAGGTTAGTGCTCTACCACTTTGAGCCACAGCTCCGCCTCCAGATTTCTGGTGGTTAGTTGGAGATAAGAGTTTTATGGACTTTCCTGCCTGGGCTGGCTTTGAACTGCAGATCTCAGACTCCTGAGTATCTAGGATTAGAAGTGTGAGCCACCAATGCTTGGCCAGTTTGGGTTCTTAATAGCCAATTAAAACACAGGCAAGAGTGGGCTAAGATCTGTTAAAAACATATTAATATTTATTGAATAGGGTTACCTCTTACTGCGCAGTACTTTTTATTAAGGTAGGGCTTGGATGATGTGACTGGAAGACAAAACAATTCTAAGTCTGTTTTGTGTGTGTGTGTGTGTGTGTGTGTGTGTGTGTGTGTGTGTGTTTCAGACATGCATATATTATATTTTGATGACAATAACCATCCTAACCTGGTTTTGTTTGGCTTGATTCCCCTCTTGGGACTCCAAGAAGAGGAATACCTGTTTTTTGTTTTGTTTTGTTTTATGTATTAGTGCTTGGACTTGAATTTAGGGCCTTTTACTCTCCCTCCAGCATTATTTACTCAAGGCTAGGGCTCTAGTACTTGAGCCATACTTCCACTTCTGGCTTTTTGCTGGCTAATTAGAGATGAGACTGGCTAATTAGAGATGAGAATTGCTTATATTTGTCTGGCCAGGCTGAATTTAAACCTCAGTCCTCAGATCTGTGCATCCTGAGTAGTTAGGATTACAGGCATAAGCCACTGGTGCTCAGCTGTTTGGGTTTTTGTTTTGTTTTATTTTGCTTTTGGAAGAGTACTTAGAGGCTTCTATTGTCAGAACAATGACAGGTCAGCTAGCCTGTAAAATGATAGCTAGAATACCACAAAACTCTTAATAGCTGAATTTGCAAGAAAGTAAAGGTCCTGGAAAAGCCCCTGAAGAGCAAACAAAACCACTGGAATTAGTACCTAAACCTGTCCTTGGCGGCACTAGATGTTTACTGATCTCACTTAAAAGTCTGGGCTTCAATAAGCTTGCCATTGTAGCAACTGAAACTACCTATGCAGAACCAAGTGTAGTTCTTCTAGAATGTCGCTGAGCAGAAGCAAATGCCGAAGTTCTTTGAAGAGACCACTGACACATACTACCCACACATATACATGCTACAGAGTCTGGAGAACAGATTGTTAGATGAGAGAGGATATTCTTCTCTTTGTGCTGTTGAGTTCCTTATGTTTCCTTTCTATAAAACAATAAACATTTGTATACCTTTGTGTATCCCCCTTGTGCTCTCCAGCAGTGGATTGTGGAGGCTATGTGTGTAGGCCAGGATGTGAGTACAGACACACACTGAGCTGCCTCCTATCCTTGCAGCGGTCATGGAAGAAATGAACAGACCTTTGTTCCAGCAGGAAGACAAGAATGGGATTACTTACAGGATCCCCGCCCTGCTCTACATTCCCCACAAACATACCTTCCTGGCCTTTGCAGAAAAGCGGTCCACACTCAAGGATGAGGATGCGCTCCACCTGGTGATGAGGCGAGGACTGAGGACTGGACACTCAGTAGAGGTGACTCATCTCACATCTGGGCCTGGGTCTCATTTCCTCTCCATGGGTCTTGGCCTCTTCCTGTCATTGAGGGTAAAATTCTGTGTGGGGAGCTGAATGGGGAAAAGCAGTAAAAACCACGGCTCTCCAGAGTAATTGATTATGGTGTGCCAGGGGCATTAGGACTCCTCACAGCCATTAGGTACTATTGTCAGTCACTCTGACATACGAACAAAGTGAAGCTCTTGGAACTTGCCATTTGCTTGAGGGTATAACAGTTCAACAGCAGGCATCACACCTGGTCTCAGGCTCTAGAGTCCTCTGGGGTTCACATCTGTGAGGACTTGTGATAAGAACTTGTGTGCTTTTCATTTCTGTTCTCTTTAATCCTCCTCTTCACCCAGAGGGGTGACCATTGTCAATCCCATTTTGCTGATGAAGCTTAGTACTCCATGAGGTAAGTGACTTGGTTTAAAAAAAATTTTTTTTTGAAGTAGACCTTCCCTGCTTTGTGCCAGTACTGGGACTTGAACTCAGGATGTTGGGATATCACCTAGGAATAAGGACACCAACTCAAAAGGAAGTTGGCAAAGCCAACTTCTGTATCATCAGCCAAACATCTGGCATGCAAGCACACCTAGCAAGCAGGCTGGCTGCTCCCTTTCTTTTTTTTTTTTTGGGTCCAGTCGTGGGGCCTGAACTCTGGGCCTGGACACTGTCCCTCAGCTCTTCAGCTCAAGGCTAGCGCTCTACCCCTTGAGCCACAGCGCCACTTCCGGCTTTTTTCTTTTTGCTTATGTGGTGCTGAGGAATCGAACCCAGGGCCTCAGGCATGCAAGGCAAGCACTCTACCACTAAGCCACCTTCCCAGCCCCTCCCTTTCTATTCTTAACCCCACCCCTGTGCTCAGATTGGCTGAGCTCAGGTTCACAATCTGCAAAAAGATGTGACTTAATTAACAGGATGCAGTTAAAATTCAAGGCGCTTCTTCAGCCAGATAGAAAAGTCCTCTGTGAGACTCTTATCTTCCAATAAACTACCAGAAAAAGCTAAAACTGGTGTTGTGGCTCAAGTGATAGAGCACTAGCCTTGAGCACAAAGAGGCTTAGGGACAGTGCCCAGGCCCTGAGTTTAAGCCCCAGGACTGGAAAACAAAAACTCAAGGAACTTCTGACAGGATGTTTTCATTAAAGTGCAGCAGAAAAAGGATGTATGTAACTAAAGTGTAATTAAAAAGCGTCAAAAGCAGGAACTTTTCAGAAAAACAATTTTCACAAGATTAACAGAAAGGAAGCAAACTACTTTGATAGAAAATATGCTTTTTTCACATCACTTATGCTTTTCACTCAAAGGCTGGCATTCTACCTCTTAAGCCATGCCTCCATTTCTAGTTTTTTGCTGGTTAACTGAAGATAAGAGTCTCTCAGATTTGTCTGCCTGGGCTAGCTTTGAACCACCATCCTCAGATCTCACCGTCCTCCTGAGTTACTAGGATGACAGGCGTGAGCCACCAGTATCCAGCTGAGTGACTTAAGATGATATCAGTAGGTAACGGAGGGAAAATAACAATCACTACCAAGTTACTATTACTGCTAAATGCTTTGTATGAGGTACATATTGTTATTGCCATTTTATAAGAGGAATCTGGGCCTGAGAATTAAAGTGATTTGCTTTGGGCCCACAGCTAATAAGCAGAATTGAAGCTGGAGCCATCGCCCTTAAGCAGCATAGTCTTAATGAATTGTTAGTAGGGAAAGAATGGTTACTGCTGTGGAAACTGGGAGCTGCAAGGTTCCCTCAGACCCCATGTTTCTCCCTGAGCTTCCTGAGACAATGATTTTGCGGGTCTTTTGAAAAATGAGTACAGTATCTCTATAATGGGTCTTTTATTCCCTTAACCTGCTCTGCTTTGCTTTGTCCTGCCATTTAACCTTCACATCCATAGCAGATGCCTAGTTCTGTTTCTCTGCAAATGTTATTCTGCTGAACATGGGCCTTCCTACTAACCTTTATTTTTGTTCTCACAGTCTTAAAGAATTTATTTAGTAAAGGGAAAGTAAAGACCACTCAGGAGAGTAAGCAGTGGGATATGGAAACCCATTGTTCTGCATTGTGGTCAGAGACCAGCTGTTTTCTATTGTCCCTCCCCACCTTTTTCTTTTCCTTCTGGGCAGTTTGTCAGATGGTGTATGGTTTGTTTGAAAAAAGCCAGATTCTACCCTGGGTGGTGGCCACCAGTTGGGAAGGGAGAAAGCTGGCCTGGACCTATTGGGTGATGTGTTCCTTCATTTCCTCCCTCTGATTGCTGTTGGGACATGGGAGTACTGAACTCAGTTCTGACTACTTCCTGCTGAATGGGGGTGATTGATTAAGGGTGCCCATGACAGTTGCCAGAGAGGACTCAGAGAAACTGAGGGGCTTTAAGGTGGTTGTAGTAATGTTGGTCCTCAGGTCCTCAGTGGTTGGTGGTTAGTTTTTACATCCATGATTATTTGTAGTTTGAATTGATCTAGGCAAGAGGGCACAAACTTTGTTAGTAATTTAAATACAAAAGGAGTCTGAGCAGTCCTATCAGTGCCCCAAAAATGTCAGGAGCTAAGTGGTTGACAGCAATCAAGGCTATACTTGTTTTTAATACCTCAAAGATAGGTAGGTTTGTAAGGACTGTTCTTGTAACCATTTAGCCTGTTAGAGGATGACATTTACTTGTTAGTGCCATGTAAGTAAGAAAGGATAAGGATTGCTGAATATTTTATAGCTAGTAGTATCTGTTTAGAGGTTGATGACACTGTATTGGCTAAGTTTGCCGCCATTATATGGTTGGCAATTATTTATAGGAGATTTTACCTAGTGTAAGTACCAACCTAATAATGACTACTGTTAGGAAAATGGAGGAGAAAGGAAGGAAACAGGCCTGACTGGATCTTCCACAGGAGAGGACTGTTTATTGAAGAATAGCAAGGGACTGGATTGCACCTATGCTACCAGCATACCACTGCCCGCCTCTGAGTTCCTGCCTGTGAGGTTTTGTGTCCCTACTATTAGTAATCACACAAAGTTGGAAAGTCTTAAGCTCAAATTATACTTTGGCCAGGAAGAGTAAAATCAAGGCATAATAGGGTAAATGAGGCATGATAAATAGAAGCCAGGACTTAGACACTTAGAAATAGTAATTTTTTGCTTTATTTTTTTATACTCTCTTACAAGCTGCAATATTAGTACAAGGAAAAAGAAAAGAGGAAGAGAAACTTCCTCTGTCTGACCTTGTCTGCTGGTCCAAATGCTCTGGAAACTGAGAAAGAACAGCACAAAAAGATATACATTCTGATAAGGCAAATGCCAGGGAGAATGACCTGTCCTAGCACAAAGCCCTTACCTCAAGAATAAGTTTGTTTCATAGCAGTATTTCTTTTTTCTGGAAGGGGTGCAGTCAGAAATTTAAAGAGCAGGTCTTAGAGATCCTGAGCCCAAGTGATAAAAGTGTAACACCAAGAATGAATAAGAGCAAAGACAAACACTTAGCTGAGCTCAGTGTGTTTCCTTTGAATACTTCACTCTATCTGTCAAAGTGTGACTCTGTCTGTCCACTTGCTTGCTTGCTTACAGAAATGTGGGAGCTGTGAAATGAATTTTCACATCAGTAACTATACAGCTGCAGGAGACCATGTCTGTGGGGCTTTGAACTCTAATGCCAGACCACTTTATATAGGGGTTCCAGGACTGTAGAAGTAACCCACTCCTGAGGGAGATCAGAGAAGAATTCCCAAGAGAGAAAAAAAACCCAAACTATGGTGAGGACCAGAGTGTGGCTGAGTGAATGTCAGAGATAAGCTACAATTTATAGCTCCTTTTAAGGAAGCGTGGACTCTCTTGGCTCAGAAGTCAGGAGAGCACTGTGCTGCTTGGGGACAAAGGCAGGACATAAATCTTAATCTCAGGGGACATATAGTTCTGACCCAGGGAATAAGAAAGTCCTCCATTGCTGTGGGGCCAGCCACTCTTGGTGGGGAGAGAGGTAGAACAGGCTAGGAGACACTCCTCATCCATATGGTATGGGCAGCTGGTGTAATCTTCCCCACCCCTGTTTGCCCCTGGGGTAGCAACTCCCTTCCATGAGGGAGAAGGTCCCATAAAGTAGATTCGAGAGGAGCTCTCCAGTTCCCTCAGGAAGCCCTCTCATGAGAGGACAGAGAAGAGATGCCACACTGGGAAGTTTGGTCCCTACCAAACTTTGGCCAAGGGGCTGCCCCTGAACACTTGAGCTTCTAAAGTCTAAATCACCAAGGAGACAAGCATCAGATTTTCAGTGGGTTATATTACATTTTGTTGTCTTCTGCCCCACATTGGGCACCAAGATGATACATAAGCATGGTAGGTTCTTGTTCTCTGGTAGTAGAGAAATAAAGCCAGGAAGGATGAGTGCAGTTACAAAGGGTTTATTTAGTAAAGAGAACTTTAACAAAGGCCACTCAGGAGAGTGAGCAGTGGGGGACCCTCAAACCAATTGTTCCACGACCTTTGTTTTTGATGATATTGGCTCACATTTCCATATAGGGCAGTTTTTACTTTGAGGAATTCTAGTCCTCCTTCTTATCACCTCATTGAGATGCTCTCACAGTCTGTTTATAGTTTTCTTCGTGGCTTCCCAGGAACAGACTTGTATAACAGGCCACCATCAAGGCTCAGCCTATTTCATTATCTCTAGGACAGACATTACCTCTGGTCATGTTGCCCTGTGTTCTGTCATAGCCTAAGACCCATTGAGTGTTTTTTTTTTTTCTTTTTTTTTTCCAGTCCTGGGCCTTGAACTCTGGCCTAGGCACTGTCCCTAAGCTCCGTTTGCTCAAGGCTGCTGCCCTGCCACGTGAGCCACAGCCCTACTTCTGTGCTTTTTCTGTGATTAATTAGAGATGAGTCTCACGGATGTTCCTGCCCAGACCATGATCTTCAGATCTCAGCCTCTTGAGTAGCTAGGATTACAGGTGTGAGCCACTGGTGCCCAGCAGCGTTTTTTCTTTTTC